CAGCCCATGCGGAGTAATTGGTGGGGTAGATGATACACTTCTGTTGTAAACGTTTCAACTCTTTCTCCACGTCTTCCTGGGTTGCAAACGGAACTCGACGACATGGCCTGAAAACTGGTTTCTTGTTTAGTTTAATGCGTAGAACTGCTTTCGTTTTGGTACATTTCCCGACTGATTTTTCCATCATTTTCGCATACTTCTCCCGCAGATTCTGTTCCGTTTCTTGTACTGCGCAGCAAATTCTGTCAAATGGACTCCATAATCCCAACTCAGGAATCGCCTTATTTCCCAGGAGGTCGATCGGACACTCCGATACGAAGACGTCTGCTAGAAAATTTTTATCCTCGATTGCGATAATAGTTGAAAAGCATCCCTTGAATTTCATTTCCGTGCCGTTTGATGCCCTTGCGGTGACCGTAAATAAATAAATAAATTTTTATTTAATGACAATTTACAGGCATTGTCAAGGGGAGCGATTAAACATAAATCCGACCGGCAGTGAAAAAAACTCCTGATCTTAAGGGATAAAAATATAGTTGATGGTGGTTTTTGTGGTTTGGAGGGCTCAGGAGAAAAAACTGCCGGCGGTGGGAGAATATCGACCGTCAAGAAGGGGGGAGGTTGCACGGTATCGGAGATCATCGGACGTCAAATTCCTTTCATGAAGTTGGGGATAGCCAAAGTAGGGGCGTTGAGGAACAGCTGGTGAGACCAGCCATAGTGTTCAGAGACCACAAACGCCATCGCTACGGTACAGTTGATCAGTAGATTCAGCACCCAAAATTTGGGGGAGCTTTTCTGAATGCAAAAATCGAGTAATAGTTCTTCTAAATAAAGGATAATTTTGCAGAGTTTTCGCACTCATGGGTAGTTTATTCCAAATGGCAATTGCATTTGCAGAAAAGAACCGACGATATTTAATAGTAGGTGTCAGAGGCAGAAATAAGAAGACCTCACGGTGACTGTTACGTCGTGGGTGGATATGATGTCTTAAACAGGTGAGTGGGTTAAATGTGTGATTATATAAGAGTTTAAATAGCAAAAATAGTCCCTTTTGTAATCTACGGAACCATAAAGGATCGAGGCCTGTAAGCCGGCAACGTTCTTGGTAAGACAAATGTCGGTGTTCTGGGGTTAAATTTCTCTTAGTAAAAAAGTGTTGAACGGATTCTATTTTTTTCCGCTCAGTAGCACGCATGAGGCTAAATGAAAACGAACAGTATTCCAGACCAGGTCTAACATACATGTTGAAAGGCGCATTCTAATGTCCCTAGTTTTAAAATTTCGGAGGATAAACCCGGTCGTTCTACGTGCTTTGGAGACTATCAAGGCACAGTGCTCCGAGAGATTAAGACTCTTGGAGTATGATACGCCCAAATCCTTTATAACCCCTGGCACATTTATTGCGTGACCTTCAATACTTAGTTGAGGTTGACGGTCGTCGCCAACCACCATGACTGAGCAC